TAATCGACTCCTTATTTGACATAATTTCATAACACATAACATAACATGTTGATTTGTTAATAATTAAAGTGCATCTGAACACACACCCTCACACGCCCTCACACACCACTTCGAACCCACTTCAGAACTTTTATTTGCAAATTAACCACCTTGCTCATCTCTTTTTTGAGGGTACAGTTTCCACCCTTTTCATGTACAATGTACAGTGAAATACAGTTAATGGCCCGGGAGTTAAAGGTTAAAACTAAAACATTTGAAACTAAAACCAACATTTGATATCAAATTAATTTATTTGATTTATTAATCAACTGATAGTTACAATTAATTTTTAAGTGTATATCATTTAATTTACAAAAAAAATAATTCTACACAAAGTTACTGTAATGCAATATAAGTTACAATTAATTCAAAATTAAATAAAACTTCCAATTCATAGTTTAGAAAATTTATCAACAATTTTATAAACAAATAATTTAACATTATTTCAAATGATAATTATATTTACATTAATCATTAAATAGTTTGACAGTGTGATATGGAGAGTGCAAAAGTGATTAAATTATCATGAAACTTCTCGAGACTAGTCGTCAGATTTAGGCAACTCTTTATTTCTTCATTGATGTGTTCCTTCAATTGATTCATTTCATCCATTAATATGATATTCGGTGTCTCTTCGTTGTCGTGTCCATCGATCACCACAATTGAGTCCACATTTATATATATAAAACAATTTTTAAGTAAATGCAATGTTTGATAAAATGTATCGATCGCTCGCATGTTATTAACAAATGTCTTGAAACGGTTGGCGTCCATAAGGTTAGCAAACCGGAGGCCAGCGGTGCGGCCGTACAGACCCGTTGACAGCACCACAAACACCGCAGTCCTCGTCGTTATCGCTAAAGACTCTATGTTTAAGTCTATCTCGAAGTTAATGGTCTTGAGATTGCGATCGTAGACACGGATCAGACACTGGTAGTGGTCACCGGTTCCTGAGGTGACAATGCAAATGGTCTTCTTGTACTCAATTAACATTAGATTGTTGTCCGCAGACCTCACAGACCAGAGCTGTACCGGTGATAATGATAACAGTAGTCGGTATCTCATACCTAAATTTGCCCGCAGTTTCCGATTTATGTCCGAAGACATTGCAGCGGATGTGCTTTCATCGGGAATGTAACACATTATGGGCTTAACATATGTTTAACTCTATGTATAACTTATGGTCAATTGTTTATAAATAGTTTATATATTTAAAAAACATTTTAGTGTTTATACATGTGTACATTACACTCTGCTAAATAAATGTTGAAATTATTTTTATCTGGAATTTAAATTAATAAACACTAAAAATATTATTTTTTAATGATTTGAACAACAAATATAATAATTTAATGGAAATGTATGGACAGAGATGAGTGATTTGCATAGAGTTTAAAGAATCTACTGATAATTAAAATATAAATATTGTAATATCTACTGATAATCAATCACTAAAAGTATATTATATTTGACATACAATCATTTGAATTAACTTAAGCACTTAATACTAACCGTTATCAAATTAATTTATATTAATTATTGATAGCTATTTTATTTTATTTTATTTTTTTAGACTATCTAAATGATTGTAATGTTATATTTAAAACTACTCAATTAATAATATTTAGTAATTATATATTTATAAAGTCTAATCACAAAATGAAAATGTGAGAAAAAACTTGTAATTCAAGTGATTGTATGGCAAATATAATGTACTTTTAGTAATTGATTATCAGTAGATATTAACTAAACTCTATGCTATTCACACATCCGTTTCCCTCCCTTTCATACAATTATCACATTTGTTGTTCACATCATTCAATACTAAATTGTTTATTAAATAGTAATTGTATTTTAAATTGAATTTATAAATATTTTTGTCATTTGTTTTACTCATTAACACAATATAACACACAATATCACGAGAAATGTCGGGTTTTGACGCCAAACGATTTGTAGGTCTGGAGGAATGGATGGCCAAAGAGCTGGAGTGCGGGATATGTCTGAAGGTATTAAACAAAGCGGTGGTCTTGGAGTGCGGCCACAGTTACTGCAAACGTTGTATCGATAGTTCGATTGAGTGGCGCATTAGTAGGTCGTGTCCCTCAGCAGTTCCCACCGACATAGAGTGTGGTCACTGCAAACACCGCTCAGCTGTCATCCTCGACGGTCAACATGAATGCCTATTTCCGGCCAATATTGTTGTCAACAGTTTTGTCGGTAAACTAAGGATCAAATGCCGATTCGCCGATAGGGGCTGCAAAGCGGTGGTCGAGACCGCACTACTGGCCACCCATTTGCCCCAATGTCCGCACAGTCGGTGCCTGGCATGTGGCCTCTATTTCCCTGATAGGTATTATCACAACTGCGTTCAGGAGTTGAGGGAAGAGTTGGAAAAATTGCAGAAGAAGTGCCAGGAATTGAGCGATAAGATGGCAGATATGGTGCCGAAGTGTGAATCCGAGCCAAAGCCGAGACACTCCCCGTCCGAGTAGTTCCCGCTTAACCGCCGCCCATATCTCTCAACATCTCTCATATGATTCAACAGCTCTTTAATTGTTTTATTAATTTTCTAATAGTTTTTAAAAAATATTATTAACTGTTTTAATCGTATTTAATATGTATTTTAGTAATTGTTTTTAATTAATTAATGATAAATAATTTGTTTTATATAATTATATTAATAGATAATAACAATTATAATACTTTAAGGCAATAAAAATTACAAAAATTGATATTTTAATAATTAATAATTTTAATATTACTAAATGCTGTATTTACCATGATTCAAACACTTGAATAAAATAAATTTTAATAAAACTCAATTACAGTATTAAACGTGGTCACAATTGTTTGATTATTAAGTTTATTAAATTGATTTAATAATTTAATAACACTTTAATTGTAAGTTTTAAATAGAGTTCACTTTTAACAAATTATGACTTAAATATAGTTGATATCAATTTGTGCTAGTTGTTTTCAAATCTCATTAATTAAATAAACATAATTAACATATTTAAGAAATAAAATATTAAATAAACTTATAATTAAATATCACTTTAATTAAACAATTCTTTCATATAAAAAAATTACCTAGAAATATTTTCCATACAATTAATAACACTAACAATTTATTAACAATTAATTTCTATATTTACAAAACAATTATTTAACTGATTATTAATGCATTTATAAATACACAAAACCTCCCTTAGATGTCCATTAGTGTACACACACTGTATAGTGAACTCTAGGTAACACAAAAATCACCAGTGTAAAAAACATACTACCAAAACACACCCAAAAACATGTCAGTAATTTTACCACAAGTCATCGCCGGTAGGAATCGGCCATCAGTTATGCTCACGGATGAGACCAACCGGAAAATGGCCGTACTATTGGCCGGACAGGGGCTGACCGCACGGCTCACATCGTTGGTACAGTTGTGGACAAAGAAATCGGCCGCCAATCGGTGGTCAATTGTCTACAAGAAGATCGTATGCTTTATCACCGATGATAATCGTGATCATCGGCGGTGTCTGATCCGTGTGTACGACAACTATCTCCGCTATGTTCACTGGGAACTGGATTTGGGCGAAGAGTTTGTCTTCGAGTCGACAAAGGGTCCGATGTTTCACGTGTTGCGGACACCGGACGGCCACTGCTGTGGCCTCAAGTTTGCCGATCGGCTCGAGTCAAACGGCTTCAAGATCTTAGTGTTGGAACAGATACTGAAACGATCGGCTCAGTTGTCTCAATGCCGGCCGTCATCGATGGCACCGCCGACGCCACCAAAACCTGTCCAAAACAGGACTCGTCGGTCAAATAACAGGCCATCGGATCAGATACTTGTGGCCACAAATGCCATACCGACTGAGGATCAGTTGGATTGTCTGGTAAAGGATTGCAAACAACAACTCAATGGCGGGTCCACCGGGTCATCAAAGATACCGTTAAAGACTGAGCTAAAGACAACGCTATACACGGCTACCGAGATATCAATGGCACAGCAATCGGTGGTAAACGACAGCGAGAGTCTGGCCGTGGATTTAAATCTACAAAAACATAAACCATTGATGACTTTTTGTGTGCAAACACATCCACTGTTGGCCATCCAAGATGTAGCCGATCCCGGGGTTAGAGATACAATGATAGACACTGTGGATACAGGCGTAACGGATCCGGTGGTCAATATTGCCGATCCAGTGGTAGACACTGTAGACCCAGAAGTAATGAATCCAATGGTAAATATAGTCAACAATCGCGAAGATCAGCCCAAAGACGACGATCTGGACATCAGTGTCGACAGTCTGGACAAGAGTGTCGATACGGGTGTTACCGACGATATTGCAGAGATTGTATCGCAAGAAACTGATCCATTGGTTTTACAGATGAAACCCAATGATAATACCGACAAAGAAGTGGCCGAATGGTTGCGCGATGTGGTTGAAATAGTGGCCAACAAAGTGGAGATGGAAATATATGACGGCCAAGTCGTCGCAGAATACGACAGTGTCTTCAGTGACACGGAATCGGAAATGAAATTTATTGATGACAGCGGATCCGATGCCGAAGAGTTGGTCATTGATTGTACAAATGCTAAATCAGTGAATAACGAGCTGAACACTGGACGGGTGGTTGACTCCGGAGGGCCCGACACAAGTCATTTGCCGGACACAAGAGGTGCCGATCATAATGAGGACAAACCCGAAATCACTACAAATTCAGGTTTTTAATCAGACTTTAAAACCAGAATTAGATCTGGAATTGAATCTAAATTTTAACTCAAAATTTAATAAACAATTAGGCGATAAATTGGTTGACGACAAACACGAGATCAATTCAAACGCCAATTTGGCCCCGACTTTGACCCCGAAATTTGACCGCAAATTATACCAGAAGTATAACCAAGAGATGGACCAGAAATTGAACAAATCTATGGCAAAGAAGTTGAACCCAGAGTTGGACCAGAAAATGGACGACAAGTTGAACCCAAAGTCAATCAAAAATGGGGGCAAAAAGTTTGACTTGGATTTGAACCAAATGGACCTCGATTTGAGTCGATTGCAAGAATATGGTAACAAACTAGCGGTTCCGAAACGTGCACCAGTTGTCGAGCCAGACATTACACTCGTCGCCGACCCGCCGGCAGTTGACCGGCCAGTTATGGACACGGATTGTGGCCATCGCTCGAGTTGGCGCCGACCGTTGACAAAACTGTTCAACAAAAAGTCTGCGGGAAAAGCCGGTGCCGGCCGTCAACGAGCTGTCAATCTTAACCTTTCAATGCAGACCAACAATAGTGACCCGAAGGCCGTAAAGGAGCAGCAGGATACATTTTGTAAGTTCACACCTAAGCAGAATAAAAAGCGCCGCAGGTTACCAGTTTGGATTTTGGATTGCCTTTAATTAATTTGATTGGATTTAAACAAGTAATTTGATTGTGGTCGTTTAATATAATTTTGTGATTTTTGTTTTATTATTTGAATGCTATTTAATATTTAGTTATTAGCTTAATATTTTCAATGGGTTTAGTAGTAGTAATAATAATTAGATAATGTGTAAATTTTTCAATTATAATTTATAAATATTATGTTGAATTGTGTGTTAATAATATTTGCTTATATTCGTTACAAAAATGTTGATTGCATTGTCTGTACTATTATTTGAACATTAAATTTATAGTTTGATTGATTTGGTTGTTATTTCTGTTTTGTTTTATAATTTGAATGTCATTTAATAATTAGATTAATATTTTCCAATGAGTTTAATGCGATTAAAAATTTCTATAAATTTATAATATAAATATTTTTATTAATTATAAGTTTTATGTTTGTTTGCATTGAATTTGTGTGTTATTCGTAATACTTGTGTATAGATTACCATAAGATGTATCGTTTTATGTATGTTATGTCAAAATCTGTATGTCATTTACAGATAGCACTGTAATAATAATAATAATGTGTTTTTTCATAATTCTTACCATTTTTGTCAACACTAGTACTAAAAGTAATTGTATTCACGAAATGCTTAAATACATTCTGTATTCTCAAAATATAATTTGAATTTCATTTTAAATTATTATTACAATTGTTTTAATAATAATACCATATGTGGAGAGAGAGAGAGAGAGAGA